GCAAGATCAAGTAGGATCTTATCAGTCCTCAATATATTTGATCTCTCTGTGGCATCTGTCATGGTAGCTACTCATTTCCCCTTTAAATTCTCTCCTACCTTGGCTTCCATAATATTGCCATCTCTCCTGGCTCTGAGTATAGGAGTAGTGAAAGCATAAACTCTGGAATCAGAACTGGGTTCAATTCCTCTCTTACCCACTTGTTAGCTGTGTGACCTTGGGCACATAACTTAAAGTCTTTGAGCCTTGGTTTCTTGTTTATTAAAATAGGGATAACGCCAGAACCTCACAGACTTGTGAAGAGAATTGAGATAATCCAAATACAGCACAATGCCTAGGACATAGTAAGTGTTTAATATATCTGAACTATTGTAATTATTCCTTCCTATTATTCTCTTATCCAGGCATGTTTTCCACCCCTTAATTATTATAGTTCTTCAAGAGTCTATTGACTTTCCTATAAGCTGATCATTCCAAAGTTCTTATCTGCAGCCCTGACTTCTACTACAGTACCTGTAATGCTTTATGCAAGTGACTGTTTACATGTTTGTCTCCCACTACTAGATTGTGAGCTCCTTGAAGGCAAGCAATGTGATTTATTTGTCTTTTCCCCCCAGCACCTAGAGCAGTGCTTGGCGCATGGGAGTAGGCCTTCAATAAATGTTTTCTAAATGAAGAAAATCTTTCTGGACAATGCCCCCTTAACCTCATGCCAAGCTCCCTCATTCTCTAGGCCATTCATTCTCAGCAGTAAATGTGCTTAGGCCATTCTGTTTATAGATTCCCCTGACTCATTCAAATTCACAAATAAATGGTATTTTTTGCTGGCTCCAAACATACCCACTGTATTAGTCAGGGTCTTGGCAGAAAGAGCACACTCGAACTGGGCATCTTGATGAGTTTAATAAAGGCCATAGTTATAAAGACAAGGCAGGATTTAGGAAAACCATCAAGGACTAGTGCAGCACCCGAGCCCTACCAATAACTGGGAGCTGGTACCACCCCTAGGCATCAAGGGGTAAGGGGGGAGTATAGTTACCAGATCGTGAGAGAGTAGCTCTAAGAGAGGGCTGCCTGACAGGAGCAGTGACCTTTGGTAGAAAGATACAACCAACCTGTAGGGACATGGCAGGGAGGGAACCGGGAATAAATAGCTCATGCTCACTCTACCCCCATCCTCTGCTCTCTGTATTAGTTTGCTAGCACTGCTGTAACAAAGTACCACAAAGTTGGTGGCTTAAACAACAGAAATGTATTGTCGCACAGTTCTGGAGCCTGAAAGTTCAGGGTGTCATTAGGGTTGGTTCCTTCCAAGAGCTGTGAGGAACAATCTGTTCCGGGTCTCTCCCCTAGCTTCTAGTGGGTTTCCTGGCAATCTTGCTGTTCCTTGGCTTCTAGAAGCATCACCCCCAACTCTGTCTTTATCTTCACATGGCATTCTCCTGTGTGTATCTGTGTCTAAGCTTCCCCATTTTATAAGGACACCAGTTTCACTGGATTAGGGCCCACTGAATCAACCTCATCTTAACTAATTATATCTGCAATGATCCCTGTTTCCAAATAAGGTTCCACTCTGGAGTATTGGGGCTTAGGAATTCAACATATGAATTGGTGGGGGGTGGGGAGACGCAATTTAATCCATAGTATCCTCCCATTTGTGGAACCCAAACAGAAACCAAAGCCCAAGGTAATCCATTGAGGTAAGCCATATAAATCAGCCTCACAGGGTACAGCGCATGGTAGATAGGGACAAAGAGTGGGTCTGAATGGGACAAATGGATGACATCCAGTATACTTGTTTTCCAGAATTCCTTCCACTAGCTATGGTCAAGGCTCCAACTCTATTCCTAGGGACTCAAGACTAAGATTGAGAGCCAAACCACTAAACTTCTCACCTTTACACCCACTCAGCCATCATGTCCTCACCACTTTTACTTCCTAGGGTCCATCTCCTCCATCTCTACTGAGCTATTGCTACAGCCTTCCAACTAATATCTCTGCCTCCAGTATCTCTCCTTAAACCCAACCTGTATGTTACCTCCAGACTGACTTTCCTATTCATCCCACTCCATACCTCTAAATCTTTAGCTTCACTCTTCAGAACCTGATCTCTTCCTCTTCTAGTGTCTCCCTACATTAGGATTAAAAGTGTTAACACAACGCAAAGCACATAGTAAATACTCAGTGTTTATTGAGCTATTTTTATTATCCCAACTGGGCTCGTCTACCCCCTGGATGTCACCAAATTTTATTCCTTCCATACCTTTTGCTTTCCTAGATTCAAGTCCTTCAGGTGGGAGTTCCCCCATCTGATCAGCAACTTGGCCTCTAATTATCCTTCTTTAAAGCCTTGCTCTCCTTCCCTCCAGCCTAAGACTAGTGCAGTACCCCAGCACTAGCAATGGTGGGGAGTGGGACTACCCCTAGGCATCAAGGAGGGAGGGGGAAGGGGAGTGTGGTTACTAGATTGTGAGAGAGTAGCTCTAAGAGAGGGCTGCCTGACAGGAGCAGTGACCTTTGGTAGACTAGAAAGTCTTCTTTCTTTCTTTCCTAGACTGGAAAGCTCCCTGTGTTTTCTATCCCACTTCTTCCTGGGTAAGGTAACCCAGGCACCTTGTTCTGTCAGCTGGCCCTTGCCTGACTTCTTTCACCTTCCTTGGCTCTTTTGCCTTCACCTTCAAATATGCATAGGCCTGTTGGTACTGGTTCCCTCAAGTTCCCATGCTCTGCCCCTTTCTCAATCCCAAGCTTCTCACATAAGTACCCCATGCTTGCTGCCTCTACACTGTCCCCACCCCCACCCTTCTTTCTGCCGCCCCTTCCCCAAGCATGCATTCTTCTGATCCAGCTCTCTCCCAGGTCACTGATGACTTATATGTCAGTGGCCAAATCTGGCCTTTTCTGTCATCATTCTTCTTGACCATTTTGCATATATGAAATTCCTCCCCCTTGAAGGTCCATGTCAGTATAATCTCTACTGGCTTCTTTCATTCTTTTATTTTAAAATGTATGAATTCCCCAAGGTTGTCCCCTTACTTACCCTTTCCTTTTTCTCTACAGTTTCCCTTACTCCAGAAGCTTGCTGGCCCTGTCCTGCATTCAGATATGTTTTGTTTGGCCCTTCCCTATACAGAAACTCACTGATTCCACAATGCCCAGCAGATAGAGTTCAAACTCCTTAGCTTAACATTTGAGGCCCTGACCAGCCTGACTCTAGATAACCTTTCCTCTGGGTTTCAGGGGCTCCCAGTTGCCAACCCCAAGTCGTCTAGGTAATTGGAAATAAACAACAACAACAACAACAAACAGGAATGCTTCAAAGTCAAAGATAATAACGATAGTAAGTTTGGGCTAAGAGCCCTAGATTTTTCTCTATCATCATCAGACTTGACCTAAGGTAATGATTGAAAACATGATTTTTCTAGCCTCTCTCTGGGACAGTATACCATTTGATTAGGAGTGCAGGAGCTAGCCAGATAGTTTGGCTCCACTATTTATTTTTGGCTATATGCCTTTGGGCACATTTCTAACCTTTTTCTGACCGTTTCTTTCTCTATCAAAAGGAGATAGAGTATCTGCCCTATGGGATTAAGGATTAAGCTCAATAATGTGTGTAAACTGTTTAAACACAGTCGTTAGTAGATGGCCAATAAATGGTACCCATTATTATCTTTATTATTGCCACTTCACCTCTAAGCACATTCACACAATTCATTCAAGTCATTATTAGCGGATTTGACTGAATGGGAGTCAAACCTGGCTTCCCACAAACTGTGTGGTCACAGGCAAATCCCTTCCCTGGGCCTTGGTTTTTCCGTCTGTAAAATAGGGGTATGTTGCCAGAATGGGGAAGATGCACCACGCACAAGTTAGCCTAGTGGATCTTCAAAATTCCTGACACCTCTAAAGCCCCATGGGGGTAAAGCCACAATGTCTTTCAGAAGGCAGTTCAATCCTATCTCCAGACAGGCAAGTCTGAATCCTGATCTTTTTTCTTAACCTTAAGGAATTCATCCCTTTTTCAGCTTCATTTTCCCTGTTTGTAAAACAACAACAACACAGTTTTTTAAAACTAACACACGTGGGGCGCCTGGGTGGCTCCGTAGGTTGAGAGTCTGGCTCAGGTCAAGATCCCAGGGTCTACGGATAGAGCCCCACATCCGGTTCCCTCAGAGAAACCCTGTTTAGGATTCTCTCTCTCCCTCTCCCTCTGCCCCTCCGCCCCCTCTCAAAAAACAAAAACAAACAAACAAACAAACAAAAACCCCATACAGGTTACGTCCTTCCTGGCAGTGTTCCTACAGGCACCAAACTAACTAGGTCTTACCTTCTTTCTGCTCCTAAGCTTCTCAACTCGTTCCCCACCCCTACCCACCTGCCTCTTTTCCCTTCTCTGAAGGGCTCAAGTGCTTTAGGTCACTTCTGCACTTCTGCATCATAAATACGATCCACATGGACGCTTTAACTATGAAGGGCCGAAGAGGGCAAGCTGAAGAATGAATGGAAGGGACTCCGGAATGCAGTGGCAGCTCAGGCCCCGCCCCCAGGCGCGCCCCTCCCCGCCCCTCTCTCTTTCCGACACCAGTTCTCTGGAGACGGGCCTCAACTCTCTCACTCTTCAAATCACGCTCCACGACTGGATTCTCGTGAGACCTGTGACTTGCACCGGAAGACCCGCCTCCTGTGCCGTGAAAGGCCAATGGGTGAAGGCGACGGTTGCGGCGGTTGGGTTTTGAAGGAGCCAATGAGTGCTCAGAGCGGAGAGTTTAAGAAGCGGAGGCCGGCACTGCAGAGACCGGTCTGGGATCGGAATCTAGTCGGAGCTTGAGGTAAGGGTCGTGTGGGTCGAACTGGGGTGGGTATGCAGCCCGTGCTCCGAGACCCGGACGGGCTGGGGCCGGCTTGGTTCTGAGTGTGTGGCCGGCGGTCCCAGGCCGAGCACGGTCGCCTCTTCCTCAGGGCTCCGCGGGCATCCACTCCAAGGACCCCTCCTCCTGCAGACGCTTCCATGGCGCAGTTCGTGTTCGAGAGTGACCTGCACTCGTTGCTGCAGCTGGATGCACCCATCCCCAATGCACCCCCTGCGCGCTGGCAGCGCAAAGCTAAGGAAGCTGCGGGACCGGCCCCCTCACCCATGCGGGCCGCCAACCGATCCCACAGCGCAGGCAGGACCCCAAGCCGAACACCCGGTCAGTGGGGTGCGGCGGGACACGGGGAGGAAGAGGGAACGGCTGAGAGCGGCCTTCAGGCCTCCTCCCTCAGGAGCCTGCTCAGACTCTGGCTTCCCTCTCCCCGGCCCAGGCAAATCTAGCTCCAAGGCACAGACCACTCCCAGCAAACCTGGTGGTGACCGCTATATCCCCCATCGCAGCGCTTCCCAGATGGAAGTGGCCAGTTTCCTCCTAAGCAAGGAGAACCAGCCTGAAAATAGCCAGACGCCCACCAAGAAGGTATGTGGCCCAGAGGGGCTTAAGGCAAGAGTGTACTTTGTGTACTCTGTGTGCTTTGGATCATGCCATCCTGCCTCACCACCACCCTTTGTGCCAGGAACATCAGAAAGCCTGGGCTTTGAATCTGAACGGCTTTGATGTGGAGGAAGCCAAGATCCTTCGGCTCAGTGGAAAACCACAAAATGCCCCAGAGGGTAAGACCTGAAGTTCTTCCTTCTTGGAGGGAGGTGTTGGCCCGTTCCCAGGGTTGGGGGGAGATGCCTGTCTGCTCTTCCCACCTAAGACTGAAGGGAGGGGAGGTGCGTCTCTGGCCTTCCTCGCCAGGAGCAGGGGAGGAGTCAGTTTTCCCACTGGAGTCAGTTTTCCCACTGTCAAGACGTATTCGGTTGCCACAGGTTACCAGAACAGACTGAAAGTGCTTTATAGCCAGAAGGCCACGCCTGGCTCCAGCCGGAAGACCTGCCGTTACATTCCTTCCCTACCAGACCGTATCTTGGACGCCCCTGAAATCCGGAATGACTACTGTAAGTGCAGCCTTCCCTTTGCCCATTGGACAGAGGAAGAGGGCCTGGGGACCAGACAAACAAGGAAGCTCATTCTCCTCCCTTTCCCTGCTCTGGCAGACCTGAACCTTGTGGACTGGAGCTCTGGGAATGTACTGGCTGTGGCGTTGGACAACAGTGTGTACTTGTGGAGTGCTAGCTCTGGTGACATCTTGCAGCTGCTGCAAATGGAGCAGCCTGGGGACTATATATCTTCTGTGGCCTGGATAAAAGAGGGCAACTACCTAGCTGTGGGCACCAGCAGTGCCGAGGTGCAGGTGAGACTTATCCCTGTGCTGCAGTTCTGTTGTGCCCAGACAGGGGGCTTGTCCAGCAGGAGGATGTTAATGGCAAGTTGCAATCTCTGATCCTAGCAGCCTTCTCTCTCTAGCTATGGGATGTGCAGCAGCAGAAGCGGCTTCGAAACATGACCAGTCATTCGGCTCGAGTGGGCTCCCTATGCTGGAACAGCTATATCCTGTCCAGGTTAGTGGTTTTAGCTAGTCTGTTGCAAAATCAATGTGCGATTTTTGCCAGCTCTCCCCAGATGTACACCTCTGAATGGAAGCAGCTCAGTCCTGCTGGCAGTGTTTGGCCCTGCCACAGAACCTGATTCCCTTCTTCCCTCCTGCAGTGGCTCACGCTCTGGCCATATCCACCACCATGATGTTCGGGTAGCAGAACACCATGTGGCCACACTGACTGGCCACAGCCAGGAGGTGTGTGGGCTGCGCTGGGCCCCAGATGGACGACATTTGGCCAGTGGTGGCAATGATAACGTGGTCAATGTGTGGCCTAGTGCTCCCGGAGAGGGTGGCTGGGTTCCCCTGCAGACATTCACCCAGCATCAAGGGGCTGTCAAGGTGAGAATGGGGCTAGGTTGGGTCCTCTGCTTACCCTGGCCCAGAACCTGGGGACTGTTAAGGGGAGATGGGACAGCAGGGTTAGACGGGATTACCCTGTGACCAGTGTCTAGCTCTAGTACCTGCTGACCCCACCTTTATCCTACCTAGGCTGTAGCCTGGTGTCCCTGGCAGTCCAACGTCCTGGCAACTGGAGGGGGTACCAGTGACCGGCACATTCGCATCTGGAACGTCTGCTCTGGGGCCTGTCTGAGTGCTGTGGATGCCCAATCCCAGGTAGTCTTTTACCTGTTCCAGCCCCTCCCTCCCAGAAGGTGTTCTCACTCTGTGTGGTCTTCCGTGGGCAACCGTGTTCCTTCCAGTGGCTTCCTCAACTCTATGCCCGATGGTTTCCAAAATTCTGGCTCCACTCTCATTCATGATCTCCAGGCCACACTTCTGTCTGTGGCTTAACTCCAACCTCATGTCCCATAGGTGGCACCGGCCTAATATGCCCTAAATTAAATTTGTCATTTCTTATTTCCCCGAAATGTGTTCCTCCTCCTCTTAATTGTTTGAGAGGGATAGAACTTAGAAATCTGGAGAACTTCCTAGAATCTTTCATTATCTTCACTTAGTCCCCAAGACACATCATTTTTGCCTCAGAATATCATTCATGTGTGTCTCTCCCCTAAGCCTCACTTTTCTTCTCACTGGAGGCCCCCTGCACTGGTCTCACAGCATTCTTTTCTTATCTCCTGCAGTCTGTCCTCTGCACTGGGTCTGGGTGGTCTGTGACTGCTAAAACCCTGCAGTAGCTCCCTATCACCTACAGCAACTTCATCCACATCCATTGGAATGAAATTTGAAGCCCTTGCTGGTGGGTCTCCCACCCACTCCAGGTTCCTCCCCTTCTACCCTCCTCTCCCCCATGCAGCCTTCATTCTAGACTTTGACTCTGGAGCCAGAGTTCAAATTCTGGCTCTGTCACCTTTTAGACTCGCATGTGATCTTAGGCAACTTGCTGAAGTTCCTTCTGCTTGATTCTTTATCTGTAAAATGGATAACAATTTTTTTAACTCTGAAAAAACTTTTGTAAGAACTGTGGTTATTCAAGTCTGAGTCTGTGGCACCTGGCAGGGTGCCTGATGCTCAAATGGAGTTAGTTCTGATTTGAGTAGCATCGGCTCTGTTGAGCCCACATGCCATTCTCTCTCACAGGTGTGCTCCATCCTCTGGTCTCCCCACTACAAGGAGCTCATCTCGGGCCACGGCTTTGCCCAGAACCAGTTGGTTATTTGGAAATACCCAACCATGGCCAAGGTGGCTGAGCTTAAAGGTAGGTTCCAAATAACAGAAGCCAGACACAAAAGGCCACATATCATATGACTGTTGAAATGTCCAGAAGAGACAAATGCAAAGAAATAAAAACAGACTGATGGTTGCTAGGGGCTATGGGGAGAAGGTGGTGAGGAGTGATGAAAATGTTCTGGAATTACTGTTGTGATGGTTGCACAACTTTGGAAATACTAAAAGCCAATGAATTGCATACTTTAAAAGGATGAGTTTTATGGTATGTGAATTAAATACCTCAGAGGTGTTAAAAAAAAAAAAAAAAGGTAGGTGGCCCTCAATATTGGAGGCTGTAGGTATGTCTACATTCCTATGCTCTACTCTCACTTTTTTCATCCTCATGCCCCAGGTCACACTGCCCGGGTCCTAAGTCTGACCATGAGCCCAGACGGGGCCACGGTGGCATCGGCAGCAGCAGATGAGACCCTGAGGCTGTGGCGCTGCTTTGAGTTGGACCCTGCACGGCGGCGGGAGCGGGAGAAAGCCAGTGCAGCCAAAAGCAGCCTCATTCACCAAGGCATCCGTTGAGGACCAACTCATCACCTCAGTTTTTTGTTTTTGTTTTTTATTTTTCTAATAAAGTCATGTCTCTCTCTCTTCTCCTTGCATGACCTCTGTCCCAGCCTTCCCAGAGCCTCCTCTCTGCTGTCTGTCATCAGAGAGCCAGAACCATCCCTCCTGTTTGCAGATAATAAGGCTAGCACCTCTTTCATTCACACATGTACACACACAGCCTCGGTGGTTTTCTCTGTCACTTTTAATGGAGACATAAGCGAGGGAGCAGCCTCCACAGGCTGTATTCCCAGGCCCCCCCCCCACCCTGACCTTTGGCCAAGAAGCTTCTGCTCCAGCGTGGGTAGAGGAGGGATCCTGGGTCCACAGTGACAGATTATTGCTGACCTCTTCAGTGTGAGGAAAAAGGCCACAAGACCCTGGTTGAGGGCCAGTCCTGAGTGCTCCTCTCCCAAGTTTAAGGCAGGGAGGGGGAAATAAGTATCCAGCCCTTTCAAGCCCCCAGCTCCAGAGTGGCAGAGGGCAATGAGGCCACATCCTTGGAGCTGGCCAGAAGTGGGTGAGGAACGGAAGCTGTGGTCCCTGTGTACCAGCTGTGGGGAGGGGAGGACCTGTCCCCTGCTCAGTCCTGACCACATAAGCCCTGGTCACAGGTATAGGTGGGAAGAAAAATGTCAGATGCTGCCCAAGGCACAGTCCTGAGGCACTTAGGTGGGCGCCTAGGTAGGCCACGTTTCTCAGTTGGCCTTGACTTTGGCAGTACCTGGAGCTCCATTTTGCTGAAGTACACGGGGGAGCCGTTTGCCTTTGGTGTAGGAGTGATACCAGAAGTTGGAGAACAGCACGAAGAAGATGGTACCGTACATCCAGATGAGGTGGATGATGACTGGATACTGGTAGTTACAGCTAGGCATGAAGTAGTATTGGGAGATGTGCAGGGAGACCAGGACGAACTGGATCTAGAATGGAGGAAGGCAAGGGTCAGAGGGAACAGTGAGAGGTGGCAGAGAAAGACTGAATGTGGAGTGTGGAGGGATGGGGTCAAAGGTAAGGCAGGTTGGATAAAGGTAGGATCCAGACCAGAAGGTTGGGACAGTTATGGGCCAGGCCCCTCACCAGCTGGATGGCTGTCATGTGCTTTTTCCACCACAGGTAAGGCTGAGCCACAGGGCCAATGGCAGACAACCCATAGTACAGGTACATGACGACATGCACAGAGGAGTTGATCATGGCGTGGAAAGAGCCCATTCCTCCTGTGAGGGGACAACAAGGTCAGAAGAATTGAGCTGCTGGTCCTCAATGCCTGCCCCTCTTCCCCCGGTGGCCTTCACCACTCACCTGGGGCAATTTTTACCCCCCACCACCAGCTCCAAGGAAGCACTGAGTGGTGGAAGACATGTAGAAAGGTCACCTGTCCATCTTTTTTCCGGAGGATAAAGATCACCTGAGAAGAGTGGGGAAAGGAAAGGGGTTTCTGAGCCAGGGCCTCTCCTTTCTCCCTACAGGTTCTCACCTCTCCTATAACCACTCACCGTGTCCATCAGTTCGATGAACTTGGAGAAGAGGAAGAGCCAGGCCACTCGAACCATCTGCAAGAAGTCAGGCAGCCTTAGGACACCCATGCTACTCCGAAAACTTCCCTAAATTGGGCCAGGAGCCCAAGTCACACCCAAACTCCTATCCCCAGGTTGCTTATAACCTACCCACCCCACACTACGCCTGTCCCTACTTACCCTTAGTGCCTCCGGGCTGTTGGAATAGTCCACAGGATCGCAGCGCCAGGTGTAGGTACTCAGCCAGCCAGACATCAAGAACTAGGAAGGGGTGTGGATTAGACCACCAGAGTTCCGCCCTGCCCAATCCCTCTTGCTATCTAGCTGAAGAAATGGATTTCAGCCTCTCTGGAAAGGAGATGCCATGCTCTGGCCACAAGGCCTGCCCCTTATCCTGCCAGCAGGAATTAAAACCTAGCCATGCCAGGGGCCCACCTCATAGACAATGTAGAGGGAGAGCGCCACCAGGGAGAAGTTGTAGACAATCATGAAGCCCCGGAGCTGGAAGGGCTTCCGATTGGCCATGATGCGAGGCCCAAGTGAGAGAACGAAGTACACGTAGGTCAGGAGGATGGAGGTCATTAGCAGGGGGGACCCCATCAGAGGGTAGCCCTGGACCCGAGGATCTGTAGAATAAGGGTCAAGGAGTCAGAAAGGGTCACGGGGTCCCAAAGGGTGCCCACCAGGTGTACAGACATGGGGCCAGGTCACAAAGGGTCAACGGGTTCACAGGGACTCTCCATTAGGAGACAGCCCTAGATCCAGGGATCCCAGGACAGGAGAAAAGAAGGGTAGACGGCATCTTACCTGCATACTTCATCATCTCCTGGTACAAGTTCACAACCGCCTCCATCCTGGCTAAGGATTCTGGGGAGGTATGGAGGGTGGGTGTCAGGGCTGACCGTGCCCCCATCCCACCCTCGACCCACAGACAGGAAGGAAGCAGACCAGATGAGACAACTCCCGACACCTCCCTGCATAAAGGACAGAAGACTGACAGGAAGGAATTGCTGGGGATTGGGGGTAGGAAGCCGTCTGGCCAGGGCACCGCTTCCCCGCACATCCCGCCTGCCTGCTGGGAAGGACAGATCCCGCCCTCCGCTCCACACCTCACTTGCCTCCCCTCACTCTCTGCTCCTCCAGAGATTCTCACCCCCAGTCCTCTCCTCCCCTCTTTCTGTGCAGGGGAACTCTCCAAGTCCGATCTCTTTCCGGAGAGTCTTACCTCTCCTCTCCGGAATGACCGCTTCTCCCTTCCCCACCAGTCTCCCACCTCTCCAGTTCTGGTTCTGTCTTCTCCCCAGGGATCCTCCCCTTCAACCGCTCCGGTCCACCTTCGGGATGCTGGTCTCTCGGGACGCCGGTTCCCTCCTGCCCCTTCCTCCTCTCCTCTGCCCTCCCGGGCTCTCACCTCCAGCGTCTCTCGCAACTCCTGGCTCTCCTCCTCTCCGGCACCCCTTCCAGCCCTTCCACTCCGGAGCCTTTGAGACTCAGGAGCCTTTGAGACTCCAGCCCCGGCTCCACCTGTCTGACTAGATCTGGCAGAGGCCCGCCCTCCGCCCGCCCCCGCTGCACTGCGCATGAGGTGGAGGGTGGGGCCAGGCCACAGGTCAGGGCCCAGAGGAGCAGGACCCACCAGGATTGAGAAAGCCAAGTAAAGCATGGGGCTCACCACCCACCCACCCACCCACCCCGGACAGCCAGATGACCTAAAGCTCTAGCTTAGTTTTGAGTCAGAAACCTCACGGGACTTTAGCCCAGGGCTCACCTTGGCCCCAAGAGAACTGCTGAAAACCCACACCCAGCATCTTCTCCTAAACTAGCCAGAAAGTCTCAGTTTGTCCTGCTTCAGAATGGGTGCAATCACCCTTCTCTCCCTGGGAGGGGCAGGGAAGCCAGTGGCATGTGAGGAGGTGGGTGAGTGGGGGAGGTCTCAGGAATCTTCCCCTCCTTTAGGGAGGGTCCTAATGAGCTAGGCCCTCTCCCCCTCAGAGCCTGAAGGAATGTCGGGGGAGGGCGCCCTGGGACACAAAAGCTCCGGCCGGTCCCCAGGAGAGCCTGGGATGCCGGGGCGGTCCCTGAGGGACGAGCCTTGCCCTAAAACGGCCAGGGCAGCAGATGCTCTGCGAGCTGCCTGCCCTCCAGTCTGCCAGGTTCCCTCCGTCCAGACAACAACGTGAAAAATACAAGTGAAAAATACACCTTCTGACACATCCACTGAGGCTGCACCTGTGCCCCTCCCACACTCACGGGGCACACATCTCACAGATGCTCCCCCAGCCTCCGTGACGACCCCCAGCTGCCCCCACCACCGTCAGGCCCCAAGTCCTCCTGTATGCACAGAGCGCCTCTAGCATGGCTCTCCCCACCACCACCATCGACAGACTGACCACCGCCCGCCCTCCCTCAGCACACATATGTACACGCGGAGCCTTCACACCTCCTGCTGGTGACAACCACCCTCCTCTGACACACCACCCAAACAAGCCTCCACGGACTTTGACATGCAGTTCCTGATACTCAGACCTGCTCCTCACTCCATTCACGCTGGCAACACACCCAGAACACTCTTCATTGGTCCTGCATCACCATGTGCAAACGGCCCACACGCAGGTTTACGGGTTTACTCACACGTACGTGAGTCACAGATAAATGTGGTCACAGACATAAACTCGGACACTCCACTTTGAGGTGAATGAACATAAAACCACCCACACCGCACGCAGACACACACCTGCCTTGGGTCATGCATACAGGTCTCTTTTCATGGATGACCTTCGTCATTCATTCATTCACAACCAGATTTTGTTGGTCTGCTGCCTCTCCTGTGGTAGGGCCTACCTGGCATAGGCCTGCACTCAGACACACAGTTCCTCCCTGACCCATGTGAGTTTGCCAGCTGGTTATCTCTCCCGCTCTCTCTCAGCCACCACTCAAGTTCACCTCCCACAAACACTCATGCGCCCTGAAGGTCAGGAGTGGCTCTAGGCTCCGGAGAGGACCTCTCCCCAAGCTTGAGAAGCACTGGGTGTGTCTCCGGTAGGGGAACTCGGTTGGGTGCTTCCTTCCTTTAAGATGGATGGAAGGGAAAAGGAGACAGGCAAAGGAAGGGGGAGGGGAAGGGAGAAGAGAGGAGCAGGGAGCGAAGGAGAGGGAGGGTAAGAGGCACAGAGGGACGAGACCCAGAGGTGGTGGAAGAAGGCCTAGGTTTGAGCAAATGGGAGCCGGGATCGGAGGGAGCCTGCCGGCCAGGGCCGGCCCCAGAGAGCTGGGACCTCCCACCCACGGTCCGGGAACAGCCTCGCCCACAGGCTGGGCAGGGCAGGGCAGGGCAGGGCCAGCTAGGCAGGGTGCCCGGGCACGTGGGCAGCCCGCCCGTGGAAGGTCCAGACTCACCAGTGGGGGGCCAGGCGGGCAGGAGTGGAGGGCTTGGAAGGAGCAGGGCCAGAGAGAAGTCCCCAGGGCCAGCCTGCCTGCCACTTCCTCATCTGCTGGGCCGACTTTCTGTCACCAGAGGGGGACAGGGCGGG